TGTATGAATCATATGGTGAAAAACTGACTTTGAAAAATAAATCTGTTCTTTTTTCTTGTAAAAAGTTAAATAAAACAAAAATATTGGTGGTAATTTTTGAGTGTGTAACTTTACAAACACCCCATAATTATAATGTTCCTTCTGAAGGACAAAACCTGAGACACATCGTCCCACTCTGATGTCCTCTGAGACGATTCAATCAGTCAGACCAGCAGAGATGAACGGACCACCCGGACCCCCAGCTGCAGGTTAAAGTTCAGTTTGGATCATAATGAGAACTGAAGCAAGAGGAGTGCAGCGGCAGCGCTGCATTCTTCACACGTCCACGAGTTGAGAGCATTAACAGAAACAGACAAATCACTCRATTAAAAAGTCTCGGCGAGGACTTCTGTTTGGTGTCACGTTTAAATCAAACCAACTTCCTCTGGACTCTTATCTCAGCTCATTCCATTAGAACGTGGACGGAGAGGAGGAGAGCTCCACTGAGGAATTATTCCAGCTGGGTTAATTCACCTGTCTGGAGCCTGAATGGATGGAGGTAATTTGGCTCAATTGAGAGTAAAGATGGGAGGGCAGGACGGCACAGGAGGACGGTGGGCTCACCGGTCCTCTCTGAGCTGACAGATGGAGGTGATGGAAGCAATCAGGCAGTAAACAAGCTGAAAAGGCTCCACGCTGGAATCAGAGTTTGGTTAAAAAGTCTGGGAGGGACTGAGAGGGATCAGGAAGAGGTTCTGATGAGTCCATCACAACTRAAACTAACCTCAGGTCTGAGCTGCAGAGCTGCTGACTCAGCACAAATATCAAAGTCTGGATCAGAGCATCTCGTCTCAGACCACGTCCACACGGTGTGTCTTCTTCAACCTTACCTCCACAMTAATCCCACCCCCCAGGTCACCAGGTACTGGACCTGCAGGGTCCCATCTGTCCACARAGGACTGACACCAAGTCAAACAAAGTTAAAGATTAATAACAGTAAATTAAGCAGCTAGAGAATGTCTTCAATAAGATCACTTTGTTGTATTTGTGTTGTGGATTATTAAATGATCAAAACAAATCATAAACCACTTTATTATTATTTAAACAGTTAATTTAGAGGCAGAACTACAAACACAGGTGTGTTAACCTGAGCTGCACGTCTCTGGCTGATGTCGACACTGAACAAGGTGAGGTTTAAATGCATCATGTCATGAACAGGTGTGTCGACACTGAATAAAGTGATGTCATGAACAGGTGTGTCGACACTGAATAAGGTGATGTCATGAACAGTTGTGTCGACACTGAATAAGGTGATGTCCTGAACAAGTGTTGTGTCGACACTGAATAAGGTGATGTCATGAACAGGTGTTGTGTCGACACTGAATAAGGTGATGTCATGAACAGGTGTGTCGACACTGAATAAGGTGATGTCATGAACAGGTGTTGTGTTGACATTGAATAAGGTGATGTCATGAACAGGTGTGTCGACACTGAATAAGGTGAT